GATCTTGTATAACATACATTGAAAATATCACACGCTATCTGACAACAACAAAGGACGAATAGCTTCGTTTACGTTCTCTCTTCGTGAAAGCGAATTTCCTGGAACATACGAGGCAAAATAACACAATGGAAAGTTCGTTCGAAAGCAATATACTTTTTCTATCAAAACATACTCCAATCTTTTCATTCAAAATATATAAATATTCGTTAATACACTTTACGTACGAAGAGCGTAAAATAAATAAAACTGTACTATCTATATTGATTTTTGTCAATTTGTTTACATACGTATATATGTAATTTATACGTTGAAAATATTATCTATTAATTTATAAATTTTAAGAATATTTATTGATAAGAAATAAAATTGTACGTCAGAAATAATACGTCAACGTAATCCGACGAATTGATAAAGACGTTTACAAAAGCCAATAATAAAATTGACGAAATGTTAATCCAATGATTATACGTATAACATCAATTTTTTTTTTTACACTAGCCGATCTTAATTTTTTAATTTATTATTGAATAATTGTCGAAGTATATAATGTAGATGCGTCATATGTATCGAAATGTAGTTTTTTTAATCGAAACGATAAAAATAAGTGTTCAGTGTGAATAAAAATCTATGAATAAAAATAAAAATCTTGAATTAAACTGAAAAATGAAAGTACACGACGAACGAGACACATTGTGTCTACTATTTTTAATCAAGAATATCTTTTAAATGCGATATTCTTTTAACTCGCGAATTTTCGAACGTGAAAATTACGATATTGACAATCGATTGATATATTAGAAGTTAGAAAATGTATGTTAGAAAAATTATACGAATTATCTATAAATAATAGAATTATACAAATTTCTTATCTATTTGGATAGAGTCCATATAATCATTTTTCTCGATTTATTATTTATATATACAAAAAAAAAAAAAAAAGAAAAGAAGAAAAAAAGAAAAAAAAATAGAAAAAGAAAAAAACATTATAAATACGAAAAGATGAATATGAGAATCATGAAAATCAATGAATTAAATAACTCCTTAAATTTTATTCGATAATGATTTTTCAAAAGATAAAATCTAAGAACAAATTATTCTTACGATATAAATGTAGTAACCGGATGTAGCTAGAATTAAGCGGAAATAGTAATCATGTAATAAGAAAATTGTGATAATGTAATATCCCACGAATATTATGAACTGTATTTAAATTGATCTCATTTATATTTATAATATGTACTTGTACATATTCTTCTTTTAATTAAGTATTGAAAGAAGGAAGATCGGGCAACGTTACACGATTGTTTTATATAATTTGTTTGAATAGTAATTCATTAATGAAAATTCTTAATTATTAAAAATATCTTAATTATTGAAAATTCTTCTCGAATATCATGATTATGAGAAAGAACAAAAAAAAAAAAGAAAAGAAAAGAAAAGAAATTGAAGAAAAAAAGACACAAATCTCTTCGAGAATTAAAATTTTCAAATGAATGGTATATTTTTAACGCAATTAATTCCTCCTTAGATATAAAGCTTGATATTACATAGATATCATTTTAATATGACGATTTATTCGTATTACGATTTTTAATCGATTTAAATTAGAAAACATAAAATATGATTCAAAAGATTCGCAAAACACGTCTTGTATATCGTTGTTTCTCTCGTATATCTTGTTCGAATTGCTTGAGAATTTCTTTCTATTTGAAAGAAATGCAAGGAAATGTATGGATTATGCAAGTGAAACGATATCTCTATTTTCTCTTTGATCTATGTATTCTCTTGGCCGACTTTTCAGTGCTCTATGTATATATCCTATATATATTTATACATATATATATATGTACTTTTCTCACTGTTATTTCTTATATCGAAAGATTTTCTCATAGCACTCAACGATATTAATGATTTCTTATTGTAAGAACAAGTATACATCTTTCTTTAAATTCATTTTTAATAAGATTATCTCATTTAATTTTAATTAAGAAACGACATTGTTTTAAGGAAAATTTGACTTTAACGACGATAACTTATACAGATAAGAATTCAAATTGACTCGGTGATAAACGCGTTAGATGGACACCAAGACAAATTGCTTCTACGAGTTACTGTCTCGTCGTGCGCATGCACCAAGCTAAATGGACCGTAACGATTATTTAGTCATATAGGTGTGCAGGTTATTTTTAATCACAAAGGCCGAGGTGCGAGCTACGAAAACGCGTACTTAGTCAGTACTATATTTCCTCCTGGTGTAACATTATCACGGGAAACAACGAATATATAAATAACGTCATTCATTTTTTCGTTCGTTCTAAAAAAAAAGAAAAAAGAAAAAAAAAGGAAAAAAAAAATGAAAAAGGAAAAAGAGAAAGAATTGAATTTCTTTCAAATATTTTTATTTCCTTTCGTTATTTTCCATTGATTTCAATGAATTATCGTATGCTTTTTAAACGACAAAAAAAAAAGAAAAAAGAAAAATGTAAGATAAGTCTAATAAATCCAATAAAGAATATTTGGTAATGCGCATGTCTACTGATAAGAAACGAGTTCTATGGTTATGGCGCGAACAGGATGTTAGTCGAGCGGAAACCACAGAAAAACATTGTCTGTCCTCCGCAGAACGAGCTCGGTCAAGAGATTAAGGTAATCCTAAGGTAATCAATGACTCTCGTTCCAAAGGTTTCAACAGATTAATCGTAAGTCGATCTTACCTCTGAATTCTTTCGCAGGCCATAATTGCGAGAAGAGAAATTATTATCATTGGTATAATCGTTTCGTAATATTTACTTATATATATATATATATATATATATATATATATATATATATATATAATATCTTTAAATTTGTTTATTATTAAATCGCCAATAATTTTGCCGATATAATTATAAAGGTTTTTCCTGCTTATGATCAATTTTAATTCATTAGAATAAAATCAGGTTTTACAGTAATACGAAAATTAAGCAACAGACCTGAAGTTGCATTTTATATTTTCTCATACATATATACATACGTACATACGTAAATACGTAGATAGATAGATAGATAGATAGGATACATACATATATACATATGTTTGAAACACTTCCACGTGATACTCCACTGAGAATTCATTTCTCCCAAAGCTACATTTCGCCTAGAAAACTGATTATACTAACTCGTAACGCGATGTATTTCATATCAGTATGTAAATCGTATGACTATTAAAAGCTAGAGGATCGAGAGGATCGTTTTTCATTCCTTTCCTCTTTCTTTTTTCTTTTTTTCTTTTTTGTTTTCTTTCTTCCCTCCCTCCCCCACACCCACCTTTCTCTCTCTCTCTCTCTCTCTCTTCTCAAATCACACACGAAATCTTTTTTCGCTTAGTACCGATTCGATCTTTGTGTCATTTGATTTTATTCGAACCAAGAGTGAAATTTCATCGATCGAACATTCAACTTGGCGACTAATTCGATAGAGGAGGAGATTGAAAATTGGTTCAGTGAATAATACGGCACTCGTGTTTTGATTTCGATCGAACAAATTATACATAAGCGTATTGCGTCTCAGGAAAATGATTCGTTAGCAGGACAAAAGGGGGATGGGAATAGAGGATGGGAGGGTGGGGAAGAGAGAGAGAGAGAGAGAGAGAGGTAGGTAAGAGGGAAATTAAATTCTGGATAACACGCCATGTCCTCTATGTATCCGTATATTGGTATCTATATATGGTACAAAAAACGAGTGTAATTCGGACTTCATACGATCGAACTTACCGATATGAATTTAAATTAATGGCAAGACCATTGGTTGAAAGAAGAGAAAAAAAGAAACAAATAGAGAAAGAGAGGGAGACGGGGGAAAGGAAGGAGGGGGGGTGGGCCGGAAAAACGAAGGAATAAAAATATGAATGAATGTATGTTGTATGTATGAATATCTTAAAGAATATATAGAAAAAAAATGTATATTTGTTAATTCTATCGTTTAATAATTTCGTCAGAATTCGTTTTGGACGAACGAACAGCGAAAGGGCTTTTCGTACAACAAAATGAACGAACGTGCAAGAGGAGAAGGATGGAATGGAGGTGGATGAAATGGAGGAGGATGAGGAGGATGAGTGCATGTGGTTAGAAGTGGAAGAGAGATGATGGTGGGAGTGCGGGGGCGGGGGGCGGGGGGAGGAGGGAGGAGGAGAGTGCAGACTACTGCGGAAACGGAAGATGTCACATTCATCGTAATTTTGGGGCGAGTCTCGCGGGACGGCGCTTGTGAACCTCGGCGTCTCATAAATAGCAAAAATTTTACACCAGGGAAATATCAGATTCTACGGAGTAACAGTAAAGCGCTCGAATAAAGGTTGGGTAGCAAACGAGCTCGCATCTTCCTCTTTTTTTTCTTTCTTTTTTTTTTTTTTTTTTTTTTTTTTTTTTTTTTTTTTTTTTTTTTTTTTTTTTTTTTTTTTTTTTTTTAACACCACTGAGAGACTTGCGAGACGTTTCAATTGTAATCGGGAATAGTAATCGAGATAATATTATAACGAAATAACGTTTGCCGTATATTCGTTTGCATATTTTTTACAATATCATTTTTATATCTCAACTATTTGAACGATACGCGTACGTAAAAATTTTTTTAATTGCATAATCCAAAATTATCTTATCTATTTCATCGCGAATGAAACTTACCATCGAAAATTTTCATTTTGATCTATGATACGAAAAGGATCGGGAACTATTTCAAATATCGTCTGTTAATTTTATTAACCCAGTTTTATATCTCGATATTATATAAAATGTTCGAAGTTTAAGAATTTTTCGCGCTTCTGAATTTGGACTTCGGAGTTATTTTTCATTCATCTTGAATTCAATGGAAAAATATTCAATTTAATCGAGGAGAAAAAGCATCATAACTATTTGAAATATCGTTCGCCGGATATCGTCTGGGAGTCCTATTACAATAGCTTTCATATCGGAATAATTTTGGAAATTTTTCAAGTTCACAAATTCCGCCAGAAATTCTCT